CTTAAGGTTAGCAGTTCAAACCCATCAAACCCTTGGAAGCCGTGTACAGCGTTACCATGAGTTAGAACTGACTTGATGGCACATAACAACAGCATGAACCACAAAATTGGCAGTTTAAACCTACCAGCCGCTCCGTGGGAGAAAAAGCAGCCATTCTGCTCCTGCCAAGATTTATAGCCTCGGAAAAACCCTACTCAAGGTTGTTAGGAGTCTGCATTGACACCACGGTACTTGACTGCAATAGCCACCCCGACAGCAAAGTGGCGATAGTGAGAGACCGTGTTCTGGGTACTTCTTGTACTAAACCCACTGTCAGTGAATGGATTCCAACTCATAGCAACCCGATTTAGGGTCTCCAAGACTAAATTTTTATGCGAGCAGACAGCCTAATCTTTCTCCTAAGGAGCCTGGTAGTTTAGAACCACTAACCTTTCAGTTAGCAGCCTGTTGCCTCGTCCACACTACCACCAGGGCTCCTTCATGCACATTTCATGTAAGAAAACCTTCCTATAAGCACCTGGGGTCGCACTGTGGGCTAATGCGCCAGACTGCAAAGCTGTTTGAACTGCAAGGTCAGCGGTTCCAGCTCACCAACTGTTCCTCGGAAACCCTATGCAGGGTCACTATGATCAGAATTGACTTGACGGCCCTTAACAACAACATACCAGAAAGATGTTTACCCATGCTTTATTGACTATGCAAAGGCTCTCGATTGTGTGGTTCATGACAAGCTATGGACATTGCGGAGTATGTGTATTCCAGAACACTTAATTGTGCTCATGAGGAATCTGTACATGGACCAAGAAGTAGTTGTTAGAACAGAACAAGGCAACACTAAATGGTTTAAAATTAGGAAAGGTGTGTGCCAGGGTTGTATTCTTTCACCATACTTACTCAATCTGTATGCTGAGCAAATAAGCCGAGAAGCTGGATTATGTGAAGAAGAACGTGGCATCAGGATTGGAAGAAGACTCATTAACAACCTGTGATATGCAGATGATACAACCTTGCTTGCTGAAAGTGATGAGGACTTAAAATACTTACTGATGAAGATCAAAGAGCACAGCCTTCCGTATGGATTACATCTCAATGTAAAGAAACAAAAATCCTCACCACTGGATCAATAAACAGCGTTGTCAAGGACTTCATTCTTCTTGGATCAACTATCAACACTCACAGAAGCAGCAGTCAAGAGATCAGATGACGTATTGCATTGGGCAAATCTGCTGCACAGGAACTTTTTAAAGTATTGAAGAGCAGAGACGTCAGCTTGAGGACTAAGGTTCGCCTGACCCAGGCCATGGTGTTTTCAATAACCTCATATGGATGCGAAAGCTGGACAGTGAATAAGGAAGATCGTAGAAGAATTGATGCCTTTGAGTTATGGTGTTGGAGGAGAATACTGAAAGTGCCATGGACTGCCAAAAGAACCAATAGATCTGTTTTGGAAGAAGTGCAGCCGGAGTGCTCCTGGAGGCCAGGATGGCTAAGCTTCGTCTCTCATACTTTGGACATATTGTCAGGAGGGAACAGTCGCTGGAGAAGGATGTCAACAAGGGTCACCACTCATGGTAGGCAGGTTTCTGAAGAACTTCTAGAATAAGACAGACTAGAAAGCAGGACAGACGGACTACTTCTGAATGGTTAGCCCCTGAAAGCCATATGAATAGCAGTGGACCACTGTCAGCACCAGAATTTTGAATATTGAAACATGATGAAGAGCACCAGAATACTGTCAGATATAGTGCCAGAAGATGAGCCCATCAGGTTGGAAGGCACTCAAAATGCAACTAGGGAAGAACTGCCTCCTCAAAGTAGAGTTGACCATGACAATGACAATGGAATAAAGCTTTTGGGACCTTCATTTGCTGATGGAACACAAGTCAAAATGAGGAAAAATAGCTGCAGACACCCATTAAAAATCAGAACATGGATTGTACAAAGTATAAATCTAAAAAAGTTGGAAGTTGTAAAAAAATGAAATGGAATTCATAGTGAGCTGAAATGGGCTGGTATTGACCATTTTGAATCTGACAATCAATCACAAGGTTTACTATGCCGGGAATGACAAATTGGAGAGGAATGGCGTCGTATTCATCATCAAAAAGAACATTTCAACATCTGTCTTGAAGTCTAATGTTCTCTGTGATAGGATGCTATCCAAATGCCTACAAAGAAGACCAGCTACTACCACTGTTACTCAAATTTGCATAACAACCACCAAGGCCAGTGATGTGAACTTGGAGAACTCTACCAACTTCTTCAGTCTCAAACTGATCAAACATGTAACCAAGATGTATTGTTAATTACTGGTGATTGGAATGCAAAAGTTGGAAACAAAGAGGAAGGATCAGTAGTTGGAAAATAGTGGCCTTGGTGATAGAACCGATGCTGGAGATCACATTATAGAATTTTTAAAGAACAATGATTTATTCATTGCAAATACCTTTTTTAAACAACATAAAATACAACTACACACATGGACCTCACCAGATGGCATACAAAGGAACTAAATTGACTAAATCTGTGGGGAAAGATGATGGAAAAGCTTCATATCATCAGCTACAACAAGGCTAGGGACACACTGTGGAACTGACCACCAATTGCTCATATACAAGTTCAGGTTGAAGCTGAAGAAAATTAAAATAAGTCCACAAGAGCCAAAAATATGGCCTCTAACATATCCCACATGAATTTAGAGACCATCTCAAGAATAAATTTGATGCATTAGACACTAATGACTAAAAGCTCAGAGCATTATGAGATGACTTCAAGACCATCATACATGAAGAAAGCAAAAGGTCACTAAGAAGATAAGAAAGCAGTAAAAGACCAAAATGGTTGTCAGAAGAGACTCTGAAACCTGCTCTCCAGTGTAGAGCTGCTAAATCAAATGGAAGAAATGAGGAGGTAAAAGAACTGAATAAAAAAATTTCAAAGAGCAGGTAGAGAAGACATAGTCAATTACTAACTATAAAGAAATGTGCAAAGACCTGGAGTTAGAAAACCAAAAGGAAAAAACAAGATCAGCATTTCTCAAATTGAAAGAACTGAAGAAAAAAATTCAAGCCTCAACTTCCAATATTAAAGGGTTCTCTGGGCAAAATATTGAATGATGCAGGAAGCATCAAAAGAAGATGGAAGGAATACGCAGAGTCACTGTACCAAAAAGACATGTTCAATGGTCATCCATTTCAAAAGACAGCACATGAAGGAAGAAATCCAAGGTGCACTGAAGGCATTGGCAAAGAACAAGGCTCTGGGAACTGATGGAACACCAATTGAAATCGTTCAACAAACTGAGGCAGCACTGGAGCATTCATTCATCTATGCTAAGAAATTGGGAAGACAGCTGCCTGGCTAACTGATTGGAAGAGATCCATATTTGTGCCCATTCCAAAGAGAGGTGACCCAACAGGATGCAGAAATCGTCGGACAGTATCGTTAATATCACATGAAAGTAAAATTTTACTAAAGATACATTTTTTAAATGGCTGCAATAGTACATTGACTGGGAACTGACAGAGGTTCAAGCTGGATTTAGTTGAGGACGTGGAATGAGGGATATCATTGCTGATATCCGTGGCTGAAAATCAGTGGTTGATATCAGTGAATGAGGGATATCATGGCTGAAAAAAGAAAATACCAGAAGGATGTAACCTTTATTGACTATGCAAAGGCTTTTGACTGTGTGGATCATGACAAGCTATGGATAACATTGTGAACAATGGGTATTCTAGAATACTTAAATGTGCTCATAAGGAACTTGTCCAGAGAACAAGAGTGAGCCAGCACTCATACACAACAAGCTGACGCTAAATTATTTAAAATCAGGAAAGGTGTGCACCTGGGTTGTAGTCTTTCACCATACTTATTCAGTCATTCTATGCTGAGCAAATACGCAGAAAAACTGGATTATATGAAGAAGAATGTAGCGTCAGGATTGGAGGAAGACTCATTAGCAACCTGCGATAGTCAAATGATACAACCTTGCTTGCTGAAAGCAAAAAAATACTTACTGATGAAGAGCAAAGACCACAGCCTTTAATATGGGTTGTACCTCAATGTAAAGAAAACAAAAATCCTCACCACTGGACCAGTGGTAAATGGAGAACAGCTTTGCTTTGCGATAACATCATTGGGTCACTGTGTCAACCTCGGGCTTCTTGTTGCAGGAGCTTAAAAAGTCCTTAAGCAGCCCTGGTAGCACAACAGTTAAACGATGGGCTGCTAACCAAAAGGCTGGGGGTTCCAAACCACCCAGTGTCTCTGCAGGAGAACCATCTGGCCCTCTGCCCTCAGAATGGCTATAGCTTAGAAAACGGATGGAGCAGTTCTACTCTGTTACATGGGGTCTTCATAAGTTAAAAATCAACTGGTTGTCACCTAACAGCAACCAAATAACCTGTGTGTTTAGGTCAGGTGTCATTAAACTCTTTGAAGTACCAGATGGTGAACGTTACAGGCTTTGGGATGGCCCTACACTTTCTATCCCGATGGCTCTACTCTGCCCTCTAGTGTCAAAGCAGCTACAAACAGTATGTTAACGATGAGCGTCACTATGCATCAATAAAACTTTATGGACACCAAGATTTGAATTCTAGGTCATTTTCATGGGCATGAAATATTACATCTTTGATTTTTTTTTCTCCCCCCATCCATTTAAGACTGTACTAACACAGGTTGTGAATCTGGTCTGCTACCACCCCACCCCACCCCCACACACCCCCGTTTAAACCTGTTAAGTGGGGTTTTCCGTTACTGGCAGCCTAATGGAGTCCCGGTGTAGTGCTGTAGGATCAGTTCTGGACTATTTAAGCACAAGGTTGGTGGTTCAAATACACCAGTCACTCCTTGGAAACCCTATACAGGCTCGCTATGTGTTGGAACCAACTTGATGGCACTTCACAATAATAAAGCAATCTCACCTGATAGTGTACTTGTGATTCACCTTATTGGAAACTTATTCCTAACCCCTGCTGCGGTCTTGTCTATTCCAGAGGGTCTTGCTGTTGGAGTTGGATTTGGGGCCGTAGACAAGACTGCATCCGCCACCTTCGAGAGTGCCAGGTAAGCCCGTGGCACCTGAGCGCCCAATGCCCTGGAGCTTTGCACCGAGTACAGCGTGACACTGGGGAATGCTTGTTAGCTGGCTGGTTCCTGCACACACACATACATACACAGCTCCACGGGAGGCTGAAACTGGGAGAGGTGGGAAGACGTGAGAAGATGTACTCACTCAAAGAAGCAGGTTGGCACAAAGGAGTTTCAAGTGAGCCATCTCAGGGAGACGCTGCCCTCTGAGCCGTTTAAAAGACTAAAAGCAGCATTTGACTCTGTTAGCCGATTCCCTCCTTTTTGAAGGCTTCCCTTGGCTGTCTAGACCCTGGGCTGTCCTGTTTGCCTCCTCTCTCACACCTTCTCCAATGTAGCGTCTCATTTTACAGCAGGGGTCTATTTTTCACTTAAGACACTCTTCCTGGGCAATCGTACCCACCGTCTGTAGCCAATCCTCATTCTCCACGGATTTCAGCTTTTGTTTCTAACCCCGAGTTTGCGCAGTCAGTCCTGGACATGCGCACCGCAGCGAAAACTTGGAGCCGGCCTTGGTACGCGTTCCCAGCTAAAATCAGGCAAGGCGGATTCAAACTCTCGGACTGAAAACAAGTATCCCTTCCACAGGCTATTCCTACCAGGTTTGGGTTTTTGTTTTGTTCCTTCTTTTTTGTGGTTTAGTTTTGCATAGTGTTAGAACAGTTTGCACAGGTTGTAACAGTGCCGAGAGAGCAAATGTGTATGTTAACTAAAGCCTGAGGTCCATGCTGCAGGCTGTGAGTTCAAGGTTAATGAATAAGCAACATATATTCAATGAGGTGTCTTTAAATGGAAACCTACATGAAAACAAGGTTATGCATTGATTGGCTGACAAAAATGATGTGACCAGAGGCTTTCAGTGACTTGACCTGGTGTTTTCCAGAAACACTCCACTCAGTATTTGCTCAGACAGTGTTCATGGTGACTTCATAGGATATCAGTATTGTGAACAATAAAATTGACTGAGTTTTCCGGTGATACCCAACTCTATTTCCAGCCTAGATTTCCCCTGACCTTTATTCCTATGTGTTTGTCTATGGTCCAGACAACTCACTTCGATATCCCAAGTACCCTCACACAGTCAAGTTTATTTAACCGTCCAGTACCCTGCCATACCTGCTCATCCTTTCCTATTCACTGCCACCATCTATGCCCCGCTGAACAAGCCAAGCTTGGCTGTGCTCTGCAACGCTTCACTTCCTCACACTGCCCACAGACAATGAAATTCTGCTTGCACCGGAATTCAGCAGGACCTGCTAACGAAATGGTTGACAGTTCAAATCTACCTAGTGCCTTGGAGGAAAGGCCTGCTGATGTACTTTCAAGAACATCAGTTATTGAAAACCTCTTGGAGCACAATTCTGCTCTGACACACACGAGATTAGCATGAGTCAGAATTAAGTTGATGGCAACCAGTTTGCTAGTTTTTAGATCAGATCACAGCACTGGGGTCACAACGGGGTCTTATCCTTGAGACATCACTGAGGTTAATGCTACATGGCCCAACTACACACATAAAAAAGTTATCCCTACAGCCTCTAGGCTCAAGGAGACCAGGAAGGGAGCTCCCATCCCAGGGTAGAAACTCATGCCTTCAGGGGACCAGGTGGTAACAAAAATGAGTGGAGCCAATCTGTAGAAGACATTTGAGAATGCTGAAGAATGAAGTGAACTTTTAAAAGACAGCATATGCTTTATCTGTTGTTGTTGTTGTTAAGCGCCGTTCAGCTGGTTCTGATTCATATTGACCCTGTATAGGGTTTCTGAGGAGCAGCTAGTGGTTTTGAATTCCTGGACCTTGCAGTTAACAGTTGCTTATCCTACAGTGCCACACCAGGACTCTCTATCTGAAGGCATTGAATTTATAATTATGCATTTAAAAACATATTCTGGATAGAAAATTTAATCTATATTCCTGGATTGTAAATGTGAAATTTGTTGAATTGATGAAGGTTTTTTCTGTGAATATTTTCACCATAATGAAAATGAACAAACCAACCACCAAAAATGACCCCATCGAACAGGTCTACACTGACACACATGGGGTCTCCGTAAATTAGAATCAACTTGATGGCAACTGATTTGGTTATTTTAAAAACTATGTATAAAAAGTATAATTTGGGTCAAACACATGGTCCAAGAATACCGGTCTCTGAAATCTAGCTCATTCAGTGTTTTCAGATTGGTGCAATCATATATTCTTCTTCCTTTTTTAAAAAAAAAGGAAATGCCCCCATCTTGAATAATCATCCCTGTATCCGGTGGCCATGGTACCAGAAACTAGTTCTCCAATAATCTTTCTCCCAATTTTCCTTGGTGGCTGAGCTTGCAGGAGACCCCTTATGTTCCATGAGGCAGTTACAACATCACACCCCTTAACCTGTTCCCAGCCAACTTGGGGGCCCTGTGTGTTGCATGCAGTCATTGTTGGTCACCCATTTCTTAGATTACATGTTAAGGGTCATGTGTGCTCCTTGAAGTCCTGAACATGTGTGCAGCCTGGAATGTTCTGGGTGGAAATGTTCCCAGTTGTCGATGCCTTACTCCTTCTTTCAGATTCACTGTATCTCCAGCATTGTCTGTAAAGCGATGTCTATCGTGAAAATCAAATGGGGCAGAAAATGGAGGAATGGTCTTTAGAATAACAAGAAATGCCATCCAATCACCGTGAAGTACGCTCTTGACGCTCTCCACACTAGCACTGGGTGTGGGGTCGGGGAGTTTGGATCTGGGTCCCTTGACATAACCATTTTGACCTTGGCCTTAATGGACAGCAGTATCTGGTGTGTGTGGAGTGTGGTGGGAGGAGATGTGGGTGATGAAGGTGCTGGAGGGACTGACCTTCCCATAAAGGAAACCACCTTCTCTAGAAGGTCTGTACCAGCCCATGGCAGCCACAGGCCAGCCACTCATCTGGTGGTGCCATTGTCCCAGGACCTCACTGGTCAAGTCCAGTGCCCTTCTCTTCTGCCGCCTTGGACCTCTGTTCATTTGATCACTACTTCCAGAGAAAGTGGAGCAGAAATATCTCCAACTCAATCTCTCGCTTCTCAAATCGACTCCCTTTATTTTCCCTAAACCCTCAAAAGAATGACTTGGCATCAAGGAAGAAGAGCACGAGCGGAATTTGGGACCCTATCCAGAGAATCAATGACACTAGAGATGGAGGCAGAGATGAGGACATGGATAGTTAGTTAGAGCAGCTGAGGACTCTAGACTCATAAAAGAGAAAGGCTGTGTGCTGGCGGCCAGGAGGCAGGCTTGCAGAATGTGCCCTTGGGTTGTTTAAATGATTAGATATTGTTGAGTGTTTTTTTGTGTACATCCCCAAATAACAACAACACCCCAAAACAAAAGAGGGAATGGAAGCAAATACTGTTGAATGATGATGCGTGGAGGGGATTGTAATCATTGCAATGAAACAATGTGTAAAACTGATGTTCTCCCATGGAAAGTATCACTCAAGTGTAAAACTGATGTTCTCCCATGGAAACTATCACTCAATTCACAATAAAAACTTTAATAATAATAATAATAAAAGAATCCCTTGGGTTGAGGCAGCAGGTATCAATATTTTCAGCCTCACAAAGCTGTCTGCTCAGTAAGTGTTCTTGAGGCAGGGTAAGCCCTGTTACCATCACTGTGGTATCCACAAAGTCTCTCAAGAGGGGTTCCCTGTACTGCAGGCTACAATGGGGAGGGCCTCCCCCTTAAGCAGACCCTTTGGTCTATCTTCCCCACTTATAAATCCATGAAAAGCTAGTGAGATGGGTTCTTGTTATCGCTCTCTCTCCCGTGCTCATGCTAGGGACCTAGCAGGAAGACAGAGACCAGAGGAAAGTGGCAAACGAGAACTTCCTACTCAGGGAGCAGAGAGGGAAGGGCGCTGACAAATTGTAGCTGGACACGCAGGAACAAGCAACCCTGCAGGTGTAGAGAGCTCAGCTGGGAGGTCAAAGCCAAACCAAGCAACCCATTGCCATTCAGATGGTTGCAGAGTAGCTTTGCCCCATAAGGTGTTCTTGTCCGCAACTCTCTGGAGCAGTTCTACGTTGCCACTCTTGAGTCCGACTCCACAGCACTAGACGACAACAGCAACCTTTATGAAAATGGATTGTCAGGCATTTTCTGGAGAATCGCTGGGCAGGTTGGAACAGCCCACATTGTGGTTAGAAGTCGAGTACTTAATCACTAACACCATCTTCAGTTGCTGTGACGTGTCATTGAATAACCACCCTGTACCTGGAGCCCAGAGTCCTGGTGTGGCGCTGTGGGTTAAGGCTGTGGACTGCCTTCCATCACCATCTTCACTTCTACCAGGAAACTTCGGCTTGATAAATTGTATTTGCGCCACCCACATGTGTTCTCAGTTAGTTTTTCCAGGAGAGGAAGGAGAAGGCAGGTTGAGTGGAAGATCATTCAGGTGAGATTAGAAAGTGAACAGGCAACTCTGGTGTGTGAGCTACTAAGGACATCAAGCTGTCTGCAGAATTTAATCGGTCATCAGGAGACCGGGCCCTCGGTGACATGGAGCACCGTGCATGGGGACATCATGTATCTGCTCCTTGCCTGTTCTTAACTTCCATATCCCCACAGTACTCCATGAAGGGTCTACTCTAAGTATATCAGTGTTTGGTTTTCCTCTGAGCAGTCTTGATCTCCATCCATCCATCCATCCATCCATCCATCCATCCATCCATCCATTCATTTAATGACTCTTCAGTGAGGCGTGTGCAATTGATGGCAGAAAACACAAGCGTGTGTATGACACAACTCTTCCCAAAGTCTTGAAATTCACCACCAGCACTGCCAGCAGCATGGTGAACTTGGCAAATGTAGATGCCCCACAACAACCAACCAAAAAGCAACTGGTACACAACCAAGGACTCAGAAGAAGAAAGAAATGCCAGATGCCAGAAGTCAGGTAGAGAACTCAATGGCAACACGATGAGTGGTTCTAGACTCTGACACTGGTC